AGTGGAAGCAACCAAAGACTTTTTGATGATGGTGGTCCACTCGAAGGTCGGGGGACTGTCATCATCGTCGTCGTCACCGGACGACTCGCTATCACTCAGCACGTCAAGGGCCTTGGTCGGTGGCTTCTTGGGTTCTGCATCCTCCGCCTTCTTGGCCTGGGCGCCCGTGACAATGACGGCAAGAAGGAATCGTAGGAGGGTGAGCCTTCCAAAGTTCTCAGTTGCAGCAGAAGTCAGCATGCCCGGGAGTTTGATGGGAATCCGGTAGATTGCAGTCAGAACCCGCGTCGCCCGAGTCCTTTCCCGCATGGCTTCGATCAAGGACTGAAGCTAAGAGAGCGTCACATTGGGCCACCATAGGAGAATAGATCCCAGCCTTGAAATGACCGTTATGAAGCCCACGCGGTTCTGAGCCCTTATTCTCTGGATTATGAGACCAGAAGTAAGTATGATCGTCCGGCGACACTTCCATCAGGATCATAGAGTGCCCTTGATGGAAACGGCACTGCTCCAGGAATGACTGAGTGTAAGAATCAATCCCATCCGGCATTGGAAGGCGGCCCACCAGAAGGGCGTGAGAGTTCCTCTCTGCGTCTGCCCCGGTGAACATCGAATACAAGGGTTCGTCCATGGGAGGAGTCGTATAGGGCGATCAAGTCTGGTCGTACCGTGCGCGGTTTTCCTGCATGCACCCTTGCTCGACTTGTCTCCGGTCAGTGAGAGTTCGAAGATCCACTTTTCTGTTAGGTAACTTCTCCTCAACTTGAATCGCTTGCAAACCACCGGTAGATCCTTTTAACTGGGCGCGGCGGCGGCGTCTCGCCTCCTCTCGTTGCTTCATCCGCCGTAATCTCAAAAAGCGATCTCTAGCCTTGCGCGATGTCCATTGTTTCTTCTTTGATTTCTTCACCTGAACAGTCAAGAACTCCTTGCGCCATGTACCTGCGTGGTTTTTCTTGGCATGCAAGTACTCTTTCCTGTCATTGCGCAATGCCGTCTCCAATTCAACTGTAGTCTTCTTCCAGGCGTCGGGCAACTGAGTCTTCTTCATAAGGCGACGGATTTTCCGCGAGCTAACTCGACACTGCTTCCTTCCCTTCAGCAGTAACTTCCACAGGGACTGACGGTCCCAAAAGTTTTGGATCTGAGGAGACCACGGGACAGCCCCATTCGTAACCCTCCGGCACTTTGTTTCCGCTTTCCGACGGATATCGTACATCTGCTTATGCAAGCAGTTATACTGGCGTCCCATTTTCTCAGTCATAATCCTGCTGTTGAATGTTAATTGTCTATTAAGCTGCTCCAACCGCGATGGAATGAAGTACACGTCATAGCCCTGGTGAACCAGCCGGAGGTATCGTCGAACAGCCACAGTATCAAGCATCCTTCATTTGCGAGGCTTATATGGTGTCTTCTCTGGGCGATAGCTGCCAAGAGACCGTTCCAAATCAATATCAATCCACAGACCGCGATGATCACAGGAGAAAAATTCGTCAAAGTTGTAGTAGCCCCCGCGTTAACCACGACTCCAGAAGTCGCAAAAATTCCGTCAATGGGTCTGCCCCGTTTGTTGCAATGCTGGGTTGCTGCAGTGCGACTTGGGTGATGTTGTAGGATCGCTTCCTCCAATCCGATGCCCCAAAGTCGCTGGCGAAAAGATGAATCCTTATATGAGGAGATGTCCTCATTAGCGTCCACGCCCACAATCACTTCGCACCCAGCTCTGAACATTGACACCAACAACACTCACTGCCCGCCACTAGTACTACTCAACCGTCAGGCACACGAGTGACAATGTCCACTGCTGGCAACTCAACAACAAACCGCAACCCGTCTCGAGTCCTGCAACCTGGACATCTTGAAACAAGTCTTGTGTACATCCTGGAAACTGTCTTTGGCTACAGTGCTGGCAGTATCCTTCATCTCGCACTTGACTTATACGGTTGCAAATGTTACCTCGATCTTGTTGGCATGGATGATGCTTATATTGACGGACTACAGTATCCTATCAGTCAGCCACGAGATGCTAACGGTGACCCAAAACCTGATGTACTGCGGGATGTGCCAAAACCTCTTAAGGTATATCTCCATGGGATCCATGGCTACTGTGCTTCAGGACCCAGTCACTCTGACTAACTGTGTCCTCATTGACCATGATGATTTTGATACATACAGGGCCTCCAGCGCATTCATCGTGTTCCGCAGCCGCACCATCCCACAGCCTCTCGTCTCCAAGCCATCTAGACGTTCACCAGCTGAGGAATTTGATCGGGGCATTAATCTAGATGCTAGTCTTTATCCAACTTTGTCCAATAATAGGCAATGGGATAGTCATCATGACAAACGCCTCACCTCTGAAGAGGAACATCCTCAATACCCTAGCCTTGCTGAGCCTTTTGTCCCTGATCTTGCATCAGTTGACCTCGGGCGTGAATGCAAACATGGTACCCTTGACAAGGGAAATTCCCAGTACCCTCGTCTTGTTGAGCCGTTTGTTACTGATCTTGCATCAGTACTGATCTTGCATCAGTCGACCTTGAGCCTGATCCCGTTGTTGACCTCAAGACCAAAAGCCGACATGGTACCCTTGATCTCTCATCAGTCGACCTTGAGCCTGATCCCATTGTTGACCCCGAGACCAAAAGCCGACATGGTACCCTCGACAAGGATCATGTCCAGTATCCTTGTCTTGTTGAGCCGGTTGCTACTGATCTTGCATCAGTTGACCTTGAGCCCGATCCTCTTGCCTACCGAGCTTGTCTGGCATCTTTGGCAACACTTCCTTGTAAGACATCTCTTTGCACTGCAAAGTTAGAAGCTGCTGGTTCCAACAATCAGCCTCCTGCGCAACCACCTCCATCCCCCCAACATTCTGTCAACTTCCATGAGATGTTGACTACTACCGATTTTCTCTCACAGTTCCAGCACTCGAGCATGGGGAGGAGTGAAAATGCAGATACTCTGACTTCTGTAACAAGTGAAGAGACCAAATCAGACAGGTTGGCTCTGGTCCCAGCAACCAAGTATCGTAAGCTACTCAAGAGGTCAAGAATTACAAGATAGCCATAGATGGAGTTGCTGTTGATGAATGGGCCAAGTCTGTACCGGATGATGGGTCTGCAGGTGAACAAAGTCCATTTGATAGAGTGGACATCCTTACTAAGAGTAATACAACAGTCACTACTCTGAAGGATTCTCCTGCCTTAGATGATGCTATTGGTTTCTTTGAAACTCATCACTGTGTCATGCCAACAAATGGTCTGTACAAACTACATCCTGGACAAGCTTCTGATCTTGATTGGTTGGAATGTAACATGGCTGGTCTATTTGATTTAGATCCTGCCCATGTGCCACAACTTAGACCACCAGATTTTGAAGCTTACAAGTCAGGCAGGCAACCATCTGTTCTGTTTGTTCCTGAAACGCCTATCAACTTTGTCATTGAGTCTACTCCACTGCAAGACAAACCCATAGACTTGACTTGCAAGTTGTCATCCTCTGAACCTTGACGCAGCCCACCAGATGAAGGTTATATTTGAGGTGCTAAGATCGTTGAGCTTAACTACAAGCACAATTGCAACAGGGACATTCAGCCTGCATGTATTCAACTATGCCTGAACATCGACAAAGGTGAAGGTGAATATGAACGTGTCATGGCTTACCATAACATCCACAAGTGGTCAGAAATTGGTGCAGACAACCCCATCGATTGGAAGCTCAAGCAAATTGTGTGCCACCATCACTACATTCAACTTGAACACCCTTCTTACCTGGGTCTGACCTACAGTATGGCCATTGGATGGAAACATGGGGAGAATACCCCAGAACCACTGAGCATCACTGGAGCCGATGATTCAGTGACCTACACTATACATGCTAGAAATCACAACCTGTTGGAAAGTCAAGGTTGTAACCTTCTTGGAAATATAGTCAAGGACAAGAACAAACTTCTTTGTCCAACCAATCCAGTCAAGTTGAGATTGCTACACACTACTTCACCAAAGTATATGTACTACTACAAGATCCAGAAGGACCACAATGGTGTCTTTCAACTTGACAAACTCCATGGCAACACCAACTGGAAACACACCACCAAAGTCAAGATAGATCTGCTTGCAAGGTACAAGGTCCTTGTGGATATGGGGAGAGGAATCCCAACACCAAAAGATCACCAAAAGTTCCAAGTCCAACTTGTCAATGCCCTTAAACATTGTGACAAACACAAGCCCAGACTCCCACCTTATAGTGCCTTTACCTATGTACCGCCAAACAAAACAAAACCCTACTGTCTATTGACAGACCAATTGGTTGAGGGTTTAATCCATCATATGTTGAATGGAACCTCCATCGATTTCTTCTCTAAGGAGCAGTCAACTGTTGAGACTGCTACTTATGGTTCTGAGTCTGTAGCCACTCAAACCTGTGTCAAACAGATCATGGATCTCCAACAAACCTTGAGGTACTTTGGTGTGCCGATCAGAGGTCAAAGCTACATGTTTGGTGACAATGAATCTGTCATGAACAGTTCTTCCCAACCTGAAGCTAAGCTACACAATCAACATGTTGCATTGTCATTCCACTGTGTGAGAGAAGCAGTAGCAGCTAACATGCTATCTTTTATCCACATTGACAGTGCTCTCAACCCTGCTGATATTCTCAGCAAACATTGGAGTCATCAGCAAATCTGGACACTTCTACCAACTCTAATGTTCTGGTCTGGAGATACTGCTGATCAAGAGGACTAGGTCCTCACTTCGTCCCATTTGGGGAGTGACAGAATTCTAACAGGAACAGGACTTGTGACTCGTCCTATAGGATTCCCAGGTTGAAGTGTAGCCTGTACGTCGCACGCTTTGCACGTGCACAAACCACTACACACCATTAATTTAGCGTAGAGAATGCTGAGTCATCAGCGTTCTGCAATAATTCTAGAGATTTGCATGGAAAAGTGATCAACAATCGCTTTTCTCACTGCATGCTTTTTACCTGAAATGATATCCATCATCTCGTAGAAACTAGTCAACTATAGGCTTACTGTCTATTTTCATTTATTTCTGACACTTGTCTTGTTTTCAAATACTCAAAGATTTTTTTATTATGTGTGCACTGTGAAATCTTTGCCCTGACAAGGCTGGATTCAGTGGAAATGTACTTGGCACTAGTAGTAACTACATGTAGCATTGGGATGGTGGAGGGTGGAGGAGGGTGGAGGAAGGCGTGATTCTACTTTTTTTTCTGTAGAAATGTACCATAGGGTGGGCTTGAATTGTGGTTATGTCCGGGGCTCATCGGAGAAACGTTTTGCTGATCACTTCTGACCGTGTAGAATTCTACGTGCAGGATCGTGGTACATTTGGACTTCCGGTGCAAACGTATGGCAGATCCTAAATCCGAATTCGGAGAAACTTTTTGATAGGCTTCCGGTCCAAAGTTATGGCAGATCCTGAAACAGCCAAAATAACAACAGAAACAACACCAACATGACAATCAACTACAGTTTGCGCAACAATGGACTGGCACAACAACCGACTGTTCCCATTGCACCAAGTGGCAATATGGAAGCCAAACAACAGCAAACGGTGCACAACAAAAAATTCTACTGCGATGACAATGGTAACAAAAACTATGTGTTGGTCTAAGGATGACTTTGTTGGTCAGAAGTTCATAGACACCGTCTAGGGCGCACATGCATCATCAACTTTGTATATGAAGACAAACCTAGATGCAGGAAGATGGTGCCTATTGGCGTTATCTGGTGCCAAATTTGAACTCAAGCCCTATCATCAGAATCTTTTGCTCTTGGGAAACTGGCCTTGGTGGACCCAGAAAGCCGAAAAAAAAACCGACAATACACCAATCTCTTCTCTGCATATATTTTGAGCAAGTGCGTTGTTAGCGGAAGAAGAATTCGACCATTGGCATATAAATTTTGACCAATATGATGAGTTGGTTTGGTAATATTAGGAGTTTGCTCCGTTCCTGTCAGGATCGAGTTAGTCGTCTTACGACTTACTAGATCGTCTGTCCGTATGTCCTCATACATCACATCATTCATCACGTTCATCTAGCCACTCTATGAGTTACTGACGATTAACAAGTCGCTTC